GTCACAAGTGCAAGAGTTCCAACTGATCTTGCACGATATCCATTCTGAAGGGATGAATCTGAGCGAATCATTCCAAGTAGCGGCTGTGATCGAGAAGCTGCCACCAGGCTGGAAGGACTTTAAGAACTATCTCAAGCACAAAAGAAAGGAGATGAGTCTTGAAGATTTGGTAGTTCATCTTCGTATCGAGGAGGACAACCAGAAGTCATCAGGAAAAGTCCCGATGATGGAAGCTCGTGCCAACTTGCTGGAGCAAGGCAACTCGAGCAAGAGAAAGACCCAGAACAAGGGAAAGCAGCCAGCCAAGGTTTGGAAGTTTACTGGAACTTGTTACAATTGTGGAAAACTAAATCATATGGCTAAAGACTGCAAGAGGCCAAAGAAAACTGCACCAAAGAAAGGGCAAACGAGTGCCTTTGTTGCTGAACACGGCCCTGTGCCGGGTGAATTGACCGACTTTGATATGTCGGCAGTGGTGTTTGAAGCCAATTTGGTGGATAACCCGAGGGAGTGGTACATCGATACTGGTGCCACTCGTCATGTGTGTTCCGACAAGGAGGTGTTCTCTGAATACACTCCTACTACGGGTCGGAAACTACACATGGGAAACTCCTCCACATCTGATGTGGATGGAGTGGGCACGGTGGTGCTGAAGCTTACTTCTGGAAAGGAGTTGAAGCTGAAGGATGTTCTGCATGTCCCAGACATCCGCAAAAATTTGGTCTCGGGATCACTTCTTGTTGAGCATGGATTTAGGCTTGTATTTGAAGATAAGAAGTTTATTCTTAGCAAATATGGAAAATTCCTTGGTCGTGGTTATATCGACAAGGGATTGTTCAAAATGAATGTAATGGCTGTAAGCCGTGTAACCGTTGATAATAAAAAGCCTATTTCTGTTTATACCGTTGAGTGCTCTGATGTATGGCATATTAGATTGGGACATGTAAATCTAAATGCAATAAAACGGTTGATGAAATTAGAATTAATTCCTAATTCTAAAGTTGATAAAAATACAAAATGTGAAATTTGTATTGAAGCAAAAATGGCTAAGTTGCCTTTTCACTCGGTGGAAAGGAGTACTGAACTCTTAGGCTTGATCCATACTGATGTATGTGATATGAAAAGTGTGCAAACAAGAACCGGTAAAAAGTATTTTGTAACTTTTATCGATGATTGCACAAGGTTTTGCTACTTATATTTGTTAAGAAGCAAAGATGAGGCTGTGGAAGCATTTAAGATATATAAGACCGAAGTTGAAAATCAACTCGGCAAAAGGATTAAAATAATCCGAAGTGATAGGGTGGAGAGTATGTAGCTCCTTTTGAACAAATATGTTCTGAATATGGCATAATTCATCAAATGACGGCCCCTTATTCTCCACAGTCAAACGGTGTTGCTGAACGCAAGAACCGTACGTTAAAAGAAATGATGAATGCTATGTTGATTAATTCAGGATTACCACAGAACATGTGGGGGGAAGCTATTTTGACAGCAAATCATATCCTGAAGATGAGACTCCTTACGAAATGTGAAAAAATCGTAAGCCGTCTTATAAATACCTG